GACGCAATTCTACAGGGTTAGGTTGTTTTCTTTGTTATTTTGACAACAGATAAGGTCAGACTAAGTTACACTCAATTCAAGGCATTGCTATGGTCTGCTTGATTAATGGTTTTCAAAAGCTGTGCCCTAGCAAAGTGACATTTTAAAAGATACATAGGCCTAACGGGTTTGCTTTAATGATATCACATGGTGAAAATTGCAAGGTAAATTTGTTGTGGAATCAGATTGTTGATGTAGGCCTACTTATGAAAAAAAAAGAGTAGGTAATTTTATTTGAGAGGGAATGTATAATATTCTCTGTTTGTTGTCGCAAACGCTAGTTATGTTTTTTTGCAATGATGTCAAGATGTCAGTTATAGCACAATTCTTGGAAATAACTGTGCTTATTTTACAAATATGTAGACCTATCAGTTGTGTAACAGTTACACTTAACGACTAAATAAAAAGCAAAAATGAAATAAAAAATAAATTCTGAAAATAGTCTATCTGAATAAACACGAAGAAAAGTACTGATCATAAGAAAAAACCTTTCACATTCAACATGAAATTGGAACTATACCTCACAAAGATTTTGGTCACTCCATGACTTCCTATATTTCTTCGTGACTACACAGATGAATTTCTATACGTGAAATGAAAAAGCTGTATTTAGGAACATACTATGCACCCCCTGAGAAGGATATTAGGCCTGCAGCTCTAGTTTGATGCGTTCCAGCTAAAAGATGGATTTTTACGACGTCAGGGTGGACAAAAATCTTGGAAAAACTTAATCTCAATAAGGGGGGCAATGACTCAGAGGAGTCAACGAACATAGGATATTATCAGCCATTACAAAATATAACTAACTAATAAATAAGAATAATAAACGACATTTCCACTGAGAAATTAGCCGTTCTCCGCTAATCTCGATTTATATGGTGTCGGTGTCACGGGGGCAGAACATCGGCGTGCTCAGATCATAGTGAGGACAGTGTATCGTGCAATTATTAATATTTTTCATATTTCCATAGGCATTTGAAAGATCCGTATTGACCAATAAAAATTATAAAACCGAAAAGGCTACTTAAACCTCACAAGCTACTTTAATCTACCCTCTACCAGGGTAAGGAAAAAGTGAAAAGAGATACTAAAATGACCTCTATTTATTTTAATACATAGTATTTATCCTATGAAAAGACAATCTGTGGCCCTGGTAGAGGGTGACTTTAATCCAACAAACGTTAATACTCTTTTGCACGGCAGGTCTAAAGCACATGGTTACGTAATCAGGCTTTTACTGTGTGAAAAGCCTCCAGAAAAATTAAAATTTCTTTTTGTTTTTAAGTGAGCTGATTTAACCAAGACAGAGAGGTATGGGTGCGAAAAAGTGTATAAGAAAACGCCCCGCTGTTGGAAGATCAGTATCAATCATTATTCAGATATTGTTATATCAAGGTAAGGTTTGAAAAAAACATAAAAGAGAGAAATATTCTATCAACTTCAGACAACCTAACTGTCTGACCTGTATAGGTTTTCACCTATTACTGTGTAACAACATTAGTCTATTACGTTAAATATTAAATATACCAACGTCTTAGAAAGGTTTCTCAACACATAGAGCCATTTTCTGTAACGTAGGGAAAATATATAGATTTTCAAAAGATAATGACATTACCGGATAACATCCATGCTGTAAATTTATTCAATGTTCCTATTCAAACAAATAAAAAAGAAAAAGAATCATAAAATAATGTAGTGGCATTCATTTGATTTAGTGTCTCGGGTGAACACAACAACAATTGAAACAAGTACAGAAGCAATGTCTTTTGACAACACGTCTACAAACAGGGAAGACACATCTACACTAGACACCATTGTATCAGAGACAGTTACAGCATCGTCTAGTGACGAAAGTACGATAATAATATCTACGGGTGACACGTCTGTAGTAACATCTGACATAACATCTACAGTAGACTCCATTGATACAGAGACAGCAGGTGCATCATCTAGTGAAAAATCTACAGTGACATCATCGGCAGGTGACACGTCTATAGTAACAACTGAAGAATCATCTAAAGTAGACTCCAGTGTTACGGAGACAGCAAGTGCATCATCAAGTGAAGAAGCTACAGTGACATCATCTGAGACAACAGCAGAAGACACATCTATAGTAGACGCCAGTGTTACAGAAACAGCTACTGCATCATCCAGTGAAGACTCAACAGTGACATCATCTGCAGGTGACACGTCTATAGTAACAACTGAAGAAACATCTACAGTAGACTCCAGTGTTACGGCGACAGCAACTGAATCATCTAGTGAAGTAGCTACACTGACATCATCAGCAACAACAGCACAAGACACATCTACAGTAGACGCCAGTGTAACAGAGACAGCAACTGCATCATCCAGTGAAGACTCAACATTGACATCATCAGCAGGTGACACGTCTATAGTAACAACTGAAGAAACATCTACAGTAGAACCCAGTGTTACGGAGACAGCTACTGCATCATCCAGTGAAGACTCAACATT